TTTCCTTACCTCCTTCCCCTTCCCCTTTTTTCCTTTTCCTTTTTTCTTTCCCCTTTTTTGCGCTCTGATTCACAATGTGACAATATATATATCGTCATAGAGAACTGCCCGATGAACAGGAGACAGAGAGGGAGAAGTGGGACAACAAACGACGGGCTGTGACAGACGGACTGTTTCGTCGGAGTTTCCCCGACTCATTAGGAGGCTGCTAACGGATGATACTGTAAGTGATAACCGATCTTAACCCCGGTTGCGGCTAAGCTGCATCAACGCCTGCCCAGCAACTGATACCCCACTGCCCTCGAGATACCTGCGACCAAAATCAAAGCAGACTAACTCACCCATATGTATGGAATGGATCTATATGGGTCACCCCCCCCGGGAGAGGTAGGACATTCACCATGTATGAAATCTTTCCACATCTATATCTATTATGTATAGTCGCAGAGAACTGCCCAGTCAACCGCTGAACCGTAGGCAGAGAGGGAGAAGAGGACAAGGACGGTGGGCTGGGACGGACTTTTGAGTCGGAGTTTCACCGAGTCATCTGTGTGTGTTACCGACACAGTTTTCCTTCTCCACGTTGTTTGATCGTCTTTATTTTTTCTTCTAATCTTTCAACAACAGCCATTTCCTTCTCCGCGATGTGAGTTTTTCGTTTTTTTCCCTAAAGGGGGTAGTCCCTACCATTATGGTAATGTGTCCGTTTGATTCCAGTAGGATTTGAACTCGTGATCTGTACTTCAACAGTCACGTGTGTGCACCTTGGTATTCTTTGTTACTTACAGTCGGCAACATAATCAGGAGTTTTTTTCCCTCGATCGGCATGCTTTCTGGTAATGTGTCGGAGTTTTTTCCCTCGATCGGCATGCTTTCTGTGATTGGAACTCGTGATCCTTACATCGACAGTTGTTATGTACACACGCGTGTCTTCCGTTCAGCCCACATGTGTGTGTGTGTGTGTGCACCTTGATTTTCTTTATTACTTTTACTTACAATCGCCTTTTCGAATCCGTTGCTGACATCGTCGATCGGCATGCTTTCAGTCGGGGGTGTCAAGTTATCAATTCTCAAGTCCTGGGAATCTCCACGGCGGATGCTTTTTGTGTGGGGCGTATCATCTCTCAAAGCCTGGGAAACTCCTGCAGGCATGCTTTCTGTCGGGGTTATGGACTTTCAAAGCCTGCGAATCTCTTCCAGACCTATGCACTGTCGCTGGCTGGCATATCACCTAACGTAATAATCTGTCTAATCGAAGTAGATCATCATTCTGGTACCTTGAGTCTGGGGGTCTCTTTCCTCCCTAACAGATCATCCAGCATAAGGCCATTGCTCGACTAATGATGGCTTCACATGAACGAAGCTATGCATTACGAGGGGTGATTTGTCCTTTTTTCCGCGCTCTAGGTCATCATTCTGTCCCGGTGTCTCTTTCCTCCATCACAGATCACCCACCAGCAATCCATTGCGAGAAGAAGAATTAATGTTTCACAAAGTCACATGCTTGAGGTTATGCATTACACGGTGTGATTTGTCCACTTTGCGCTGATGTGTTCGCTTGGTGCTCATACACGGTGTGATTTGTCCACTTTGCGCTGATGTGTTCGCTTGGTGTTCAGGAGAATGAACTCCACAAAGAATGTGGTGTGCATTTCATGTCAAACGTAGTGCTGCAGAGTCGTTGCGTGGTCTTGATT